TTTTTTTGTAATAGTATCACATCATTTCTCCATTGTAAAATATCTAGAAGAAAACTTCCAGCCATTTTCTCTTTAGAGCTGTTAATACAAAATGCTTTGTGTTTTGGCTTTTTTCAGGAGTACCTATTTTCCAACTTTCTACATTTCAAAGGTAGCACCTGCCCGCCAGATGTTCGGGTAATCAGTCAAGCATTTTCACAATTCAGAACAAATCCAGAACATCTCAAGACAGGAAAAGAAAGAAAACAGATGCCAGTGAGTCCAAAAATTCAACGAAAAAAATGGAGGCAATGACAAGGTATATATTTATTTCCACTTCATAAGAGGTAGATCTTTTGAAGTGGCCAGTATAATCACAAAGAGACATGAATTCACAGCCACAACTATGAAAGACATTCATACCAAGCGCGTATCGACATCAAACTTGTGGCGCATATGCATAATCTCCACCATAAAAAGGTCAATGGCTTCCTCAGGTTTTCTGATGCAGAGCACCTGTCATGATGTAACCAATTATTATTAATCACCATATCCATAACAAAACTTCTAAGCAGGTAATGACAAAGGCCTAGAAAATTATGCTTGTGAATTAGCCCATCTGCCACCTCAGTAGTATCACTCACCGCATTAACAACTATATCTGTCAATTGATCAGCCAGTGCCTCGTATAGCTGTCCAAGAAAACATGTCAGTAAGTATATAAAGAACTCGTTCACAGAATAATAGAAGATATCAGAAGTACCTTTGTTCTTAGCGTAGTTCTGGCAACCATCTTAAGAATTTCTTTGTCAGGTTCTTCGCCCATTACAACGGGAGTCTTGAACTTCTCAAGAAATTGGAGGGTTGCTCTTTTTGCAATCTCAAATCCATCAACCAGAACACGTGGATGCATGCCTAAAACAAGTAAAAGCTGACAATGAAGGTGCTCCTGAGGCACAAATGGAGGCCCATTTCCAAAAGTTCTAGCTTTTCTTCAGTGATGCAACTTTTAACTCAAAAGGTGACTGAAACAAATTGAGAGGCGAACAACTTCTTTACTATGCAATTGAAAGAGAAATAAATCTATGCATTTCCCAGTAAAATTACTGGCTTCTAGATACTCTGCATACCAACATTATACAAACTTCGATTCAAATATATGATAAAGACTCCTCATCTTAGGGCACATAGTCTCCAAATAGGACAACAATGGAGTGGCATTCATTCTTCCAATGCAACACAACCTTCAAATCACGGGCTTGGTCAATTAGGACAACAAAAGTAGGTCGGAGCAAATAAGGCTATTCCAAATAGCTTCCCTTAGGATTATATAATATGCAGCATGACTTTCGGGATACAATAATGAGGAAGTAACCCGCCGGTGCCACCAGAATGGGAGTCTATCTTTGAGCCTAAAAAAGGCATAATATGTTTATAAATGCAAAGTCAGAATGTCATAGGGGCAACAGAAGATGGTTAAGGATATGAAACTTCAGCATGCAATAGAAACGAGAGACCGTGCTACTGAGTTGGGGAAATTGACAACATACCTTCATCGATATAGCGCTCAGACTGTTTCATAAGCTCGCCAATGAAAAGGACTGTAGATGTTGTTCCATCACCGCTTATGTCGTCTTGTGCAACAGCGGTCCTTGCAATCATAATTGCAGTTGGGTTTTGAATTTGCTGCAGCAATTGGTAAAATATCAACTAGTGCTAAATCCAAAGGTGTTCCAAATGCAAATTTTCACATGCGAACTTTACTGTGGTAAAATGATCAGCGTAATGGGCCATCTCTGAAGATCTAGCTTTCTAATCTATCAAGTAAAACTGCAGCAGAAAGCTGTGTAAAAGCTAATCCAACAACTGGTGGTAATTTACCTTCAAAAGCAAAAATTGCCACCCACTAATTATGAAACATCTAGGACGACAAGTTTACTTTGCAGGCATTTTTCATTGCCAAAACAACATGAAGTTTGAATGAAAGACAATCCAACCAACCAGGTAGTGCAGGCAAAACCTTTCTTTAATTGCTGAAACTTCAGTTTGATCAATGGATCACGTAAAGTCTAACACAATGCATTTCCTTATCAAGATGTGGTCTTCCTTGTTTATCGTAGATACCTAGAGCCGCATCAAATTCACGAGAAAGCTAATCGGCCCGACAATAGAGTCTCAGACTCCCCTAATATCTGGGGAACATAGAACTACAAATTGACCATCCATTTTACATAATCAGAAGTAACTCCAAGTCCACGGGCAACAGTAGCAGAAGTCGAGCATAAGGGCAGATTTAGTATTTCCGAAGAAGTAAACCGCAAACCACCACCATTTACTTCCTATTAGATCCTCGTAGTTTCACAGTACGGCGCCCCGCCGAACCAGAGACACCAAAACAAACGACATCGTAACCGAGCAAACAAAAACGCGGCCAGCCCATCGCAGAGCACGAGAAAGAAACACCCACCATTTCCTTCAGGAGGGTGTTCCCATCCTTGGTGAGCTTAATGTCCCCCGCTCCCCCAACAAGCCTGAAAGTTCAGCGCGACGACAAGATCAGCGACAGAAACGCAACGGAAAGGAAAAAGGTCGCGATCCGAGACGGGCTCACATCTTGATGGTGCCTTTGGGGCCGAGGTTGGTCTTGAGGACGTCCTGCAGGCCCTTCGCGGCGTTGATGTTCATGTGGAGCGCCGCGGACTTGTTGAGGACCTCCGCATTCGGATTCAGCACCCGCAGAGACATCTTCCGAAGCCTGGGAGGAAAGAAAACGTCGACGAATCTAGGGAGCGTTCCCGTGCGCAGTGGAGAGAGAGAGAGAGAGAGAGAGAGAGACAGGGAGTGAAGAAGCTCTTCGAGGAACTAGAAAAGTTCGCAGCAGGCGTTAGGGCTTTCTGGAGAAAGATCTCTCAAAGAGTTTAAGCGCGAGACCAAACGACGTCGCTTGGATAGCCAGGAGGCAGGATCCTCTGCCGGGTCGGGTCGGGTCGGGTCGGTCCGGGAAAATGAAGCGGGCTTTGGGCACGCATGTCCATGCTAGAGTTTTTGTTTTGCTCGCAAAATGTGTATCACCACTAATCAAGAAATATATGAGATCTATCAAAAAGAATGAAAGATATAGGTTGATGAAGAAGAAAAAATTGGCTTTCTTTGTGTTGATGTTGAGAAAACCTCGAACCCACAGAGCATATGAAGAAGAAATTGGGATTGATAAAAGTGAAGTCCGGTGGAATATCATCCGAACTTTCTAAAACATCAATGCAATGTAATTGTCTTATTATATCCCGAGTGCATTTCGTTTTTGTATCGATTTACATGATTTAATGAACTTTTTAATTAAACCAGTGTAATCGTTGTGCTAGGGTTTGGGTGTGAAGTCGTGCTATTGTTAAAATGCATGTTGAATAAGCAGAAGAATATGAAACTAAATGAGGGTTGCTTCCTCCTTTGTTAGAGTGGAAATTGGCGGAGAACCCGCAATATTACTGAGTTGATAAATGGTCGTTGCTATCTAAGGACTTATTCCACACGAAACCAAGTTGGATTGCTACAAATGATATCAAAAAGTTAGATTGATCCGAGAAGACCAAGGCTGTGTTTGGTTCAACGTCTGTGAAAAACCTTTGAGTAAATTTAAAGGGCTTTCATGAACAGCAAAACCTATTTGGTGAATTGTAATTGAAAAATGCATTGGAAAGCAGGCATCGAGAGAAATACCGTTTGATGGATACACATTTGAAAAGTTATCTGGTGTGACTAATTTAAGCTTTTTAATTTGTTTAAATTTGGAAAAAAAACGACGATTGCAACTATCAAGGGATCGAATATTCAAAACAGCGCAATGCAAACGTTTTGACAAAATTATAAATGAAAAAAAATCACATTTCTTTTTAGTTAAGCGATAAGACAAGTTTCAACATTGAAACGAGCAAGACCCATCAATTGAATGACTCCTCATCATACATTTATAGGAAATTGCCAAGTTAGTAAGCGAAATCCATCCATCGACTTTTTGACATTTCGTCTTTTAAGGTTCATAGCATTTCCGCGGGTTATACTCAGCTTTATACCTAAGGGATGATCGATCACTTGCTAATGAAGTCATATTTTTAGACAATCATGTGACTTTGCATAGGAAACGGACCTATTCATTCCCCCACAAATGCAGCTCGAAACACATTTGATTTTCTGAAATAGCAAAGTGCATTTGAGTTATGTGCTTTATCACAAGAGTAGATCGGTGGAGTTTTCCTAACGTTAGTCTCGAATTATACCGTCGGCGTACCATAATCCGGATGACCAAATATCTGCTTCATTTCACGGCCCATCGACCTGACTTAATTTTCTCTGTGGAAACTAGATTGGGCGTGCTGTATTTTTACACTACTAATATTACAGTGATGCGCACAAGAAAACCAACTAGAATATGTGGACCCGTGACGCCAACTCGAAGAGACTAATCTAGTTTTTTTTTTAAATCATAATTGCACATGCTTATGTAACTTAGAGGATAAACTTGTCACATGCCGAACTTCAATTTTTTTGGCAAAGAATATCGATTGTCTTGACAAATACATCCATTCGATGAATCCTGCAGATTGCAGAATGCACCTATCATCATCCTTATTAAGTGATGCTCGGCTAATTCTGTCACGCCCCTAAATATATGTGATCTCTAGCCTCGTCAAGCATTCTAAATATCGACTTGCGAGTAGGTTTTTGTACAAGCACATCGATTTCTTTCTTTCTTGTCCGTTTCTTTTTCTTACAAGAAACAGACACTATTGAGATTACATTTTGTCGAGCCACTGCAGACATAAACATTTTTAGCTCCCGCCATTCATGTTTGCCCTCGAATACAAGGAAAGAAGATCAAGCTCCCCGTGAAGGCGAATGAGTTTGTCTTGCTCAATTACGATAATAAGTCCAAAACGTTGCCGAAACATGAAACGTCAATGCGCACTGAACGAAAGTGTCGAGGCTCTGCGATTCCTCGACGAAGAGCAGAAGTGCCCGCACTAGTGAAGCACTCTCTGATTGCAAGCAAGAAACACCCGACTAGAACAATCAGGCATCCTCTATTTAAGCAGCCATATCGTCGCTTTTAATCTCCCACATCTCCTCCACAGCAAGCACGTCGTGAATTTCAGTCGAGTGCGTTCAATCGACAATCAATGGCGAGCCACTACTTGGCGATCGTCCTCATCACGTGCGCTCTGTACTCTGTCGGCGGTATAGGTATTCTGCGTCGCTCCGACAGGCTAATCCCTCTTCTCTCGATTCATTTCGGTTGTGCCCGTCTCTAAAGTCGCGACTGAATGTTTTCTTCCTTCCCATCAGAGGCAAGGCAGGGTCCTTTACCTACCCTAACCAGTGTCACAAACGGAGAAGGCCTAGAAGACTTCCCTTCCAGTCCAATGGATATAGGTATATGATGATTCAGTACAATCTCGCGTCTCGACTCTTCAAGTTTCTTCTTTCTTGTCCGGCATATCCTTCTCGGTCTTTCGAGTTTAACGCAAACTTAGAAGCATAATCCTGATGTTTCTTAATTGATCCACATGCTGGTTATATAGATCCCCCGGGAAGCGTCAAGGACGAGCCTCTACCTGGTAGCAACGTTCTGCTGGAGTCGGGTCCGATTCCAGTCCACGCTGTCTCCGAGGAGCCGGAGCCTCCACCTAGTAGCGACGTTCTGCCGGAGTTAGGTCCGATTTTAGTCCACACTGTCTCCGAGGAGCCGGAGCCTCCACCTAGTAGCGACGTTCTGCCGGAGTTGGGTCCGATTCCAGTCCACGGTGTCTCCGAGGGGCCGGAGCCTCCACCTAATGGGTCCGCCTACGAGGAGCCTCCGCCCCCCGGGCCCGATCTAAACTAGACGGTACGGCGATTCGGCACGATCTCGTGTCTCGACTCCGACTTTGTTTTTTTTTTGCCCACGTCTGGCGTTTCCTTCTTGGTCTTTCGAGATTAACACTGAACTTAGAAGCTTAGTACTCATGATTCTACAATTGATCCGTATGCAGATTATACAGAGGACGCAGAAGAAGGATAACTAAATAAAGCCTGGAGGAGGAATACGTATATACACGTCGCAGCGTTTCGCCTTATTATTGCTGTGGATTTCGAATCATGCCATGTACTTCAGTTCGCTCCTGGCAATAAAAATAGCTAAAGATCGAACCTTTTAGTTCGTTTTTCAGAGTCTTTCCTATGAAACTACAGTTACTGCTACTGTCTGCATAGGCTTATGTGGAAAGTATACTCATTTAACTTAAACCACTTTGCGTATATCCTGGTAATCTAACCAAAGATCCCGAAACCAAATCAAAGAAAGCGCTCTAGATAGAGAGCCTGCGCAAACAGTTGCTAAGCACGATATCGGATCTGTTTTGAAGTCTAGTTTTATCCGATCTTCGTGACGGCACTCGTAAAAGCCCGGCCCGCAAGCACAGAGAGTTTGCCCTTTAAAATGTCGTGTTGGGCGAGCGGGACATGCATCTCGGACATCCGTTATTCAACGCCGGTCGGAGAAAAAGATAGTTTTACTCGAGTTATATTAATTGTATAACTAAATTAAATTATCCGCGTAACATGCATCTCGATTAACTTTTTTCGTTTGAATTTTTCATTACACTCTCTATTTTTTCTCCATGTCACCGTTACATTGTATGATAGGTTGGGTAAAATTTAAGATTTCTACCTGCAGAAATGAAAATTCACAATGGTAAAGACGATATATTTTGAGCTAATTACATAAGAGCGACCCTTATTGCACATCATTATAGATCCGAACTCGGCAGGATGCAGAGGTTCCATAGTGAATTGATTTGATCAATGCAAAACATTTTTTTTTACGTATCTTAAAGAAGTGCCCACAAAAGGCAAATTATATTTATAACCACCATCTATAGCTATATTGAAATTGGGTATGCACAGCATAAAACAAGACACTTGAGAACACAAGCGCCTACGAATTCAGCATCGGCTTTGGAATGGAACTGAAAAAGGCAAGCATCAATTTCAAAGATCCATTTAGCATCGGAAGAACATCGCCGAAGTCCTAGAAAAAAATCCCCGTGTGCCGAAAAGAGAACATGGTTAGCAAATTCTAGTATAGCCTTCCAGGATTCTTATATCGAATTATCAAATGGAATCTTAACGGGGCAAAAGACCAAACCCATTAATTTCTAGAAACCTGTAACAAAATCCTTCTGGAATTGTACGAGACAAGAGTTCCTAGAAATACAAAGCGCAAGTCGGGTGAACATGATCCAAAGTCTTGTACAGAAAAATCTCTCAAATTACCACATTCCTCCTTTAGATTTAAAAGGAAATAGAGCTCACAGAAAACTTACTGCTATAAAGTTTCTAAATTTACGACTACATTTGGGAAAAAATGAAAACCTCCAGCAGCCCATGGGACACCTAAAGACACGTGCAACGATCAAAACCGCATTTATTTAGTCAAATGAATGACCAACAGAGCTAAGTTAGGACAAGATTTAATACATGCAAATATTAAAGGAAATAAATTCACTATCTGCTTCAAGGAAAAGCACACAAGCAGCAAATCTCCACGACCATTCGAGGTTCAAAAAATACATAAGGCAAAAATTGTGACGAGCATTATCACCAAATGAACTGACTTTAGCTCGTAGATCATGGTGCATTATCATCACCAAGAAAGATATGTTTATGACAAGCTTGAAGTTCACAGATCAAGCACAAATTGGGAAGTGAAAGTGGAAAAATGGGAAAAGTGTCAGAAAAGTTCTAAACCTTTTGCATTAACGCCAATTTAGTCATAAATCTTTTTTAGGTGCCAATTCAGTCTTAAACTTTTTATTTTTGTGCCAATTCAGTTCTTCCGGTTAATTTTAGCGGGATTTTGCTGACGTGGACGCCGGTCGGCCTACGTGGCACCGCCGGTAATGACGTGGACAACTTTTTAATAATATTTTAATATTTTTCGAATTTTTTATTTTAAAATTTTTTTCTTTTCTTTTTCTTTTTCCTTTACTTCTCTTCTTCCTCCAGCCGATCGCCAGTCCGGCGAAGGCGAGCCTCGCTAGCGGCTGGGCGAGGCACGACCTCGCCAGATGGCTGCGAGGACGGCTAAGGGGTCTCGGAGGATCGCGATTGGCATGACAAGGCTAAGAGGAAGACTGGTTCCAAGCGACTTTGCCATCGCTCCTCACCAATATGGCAAGGTCGTGCCTCGCCTAGCCGCTGGCGAAGCTCGCCTTCCGCTGGCGAAGCTATTGGCCTCCAGCCGATCGCCGGCTAGCTGGAGGAAGAAGACAAGTAAAGAAATATAAAAAGAAAAAGAAAAAGAAAGAAAATAAAATAAAAATAAAAAGAAAATAAAAATTTTAAAAATAAAAAATCGAAAAATATTAAAATATTATTAAAAGTTGTCCACGTTATCGCCAGCGGTGCCACGTAGGCCGCCCGGTGTCCAAGTCAACAAAATCCGGCTAAAATTAGTCGGAATGACTGAATTTGCATAAAAACAAAAGGTTTAGAACTAAATTGGCATAAAAAAAAGTTTATAACTAAATTGTCATAAATGGAAAAGGTTTAGGATTTTTATGACACTTTTCTAGTGGAAAAATAAATACCCAGCACAAACTAGGTACTCACGCGAGCTTGAAGCTCCCAGATCAAGCGCAAATAGGGAAGCGAAAGTGGAAAAAAAATACTCGGTACAAACTGAGAACTCACACAAGCTTGAAGCTCTCAAATCAAGTACAAACCGATAACTCAACATCTAATAGGGAAGGACTCGGATTGAACCTAATCACATCATATATGGGAAATGCATCGCTTGACAGCACGGCCAGCTTCAACAATTAAACTAGTGTTCTAGGTGAGAGAATTTTGTAACATCCAAAGTGTCCTGTTGAAAAGAGCAGGATTTATGAAATGATTATTAAGTAGAAAAACTCACCCTCAAATGATCAGAATTTATTTTACTGTACATAATCAGTAACTCATTCATATTGAAAATCAAGTGTCAATAAAAAAAAACATAAGGAAATAATAATCTTAAATAGGATAATATGTCACCCAACCTTTTTTTTTTCTAAAATCAAACTGTCCCTTTTTTTTTTAATCCAAAACCATCCTTGTATTTTTTTTAAAAAGTTACACCGTTTATCCTTCGTTAATCTCTTCCTTTTTAATCCGATATATTGCTGTTGAGATGGACTATTGGAAAGTTGAATTGATGACTAGAAAAGTTGACGAGGGTTAAACTGAGTAGGAAAAAACGAATCAAAATTCCAAACGAATTAAAAAATGCCCTAAACAATAGGCAAAACTGAAAACTTTAAAAACTAAAAACAAACAAAACCTGGCCTTGTGAAAATTTGCCGTCTTGGGGTGCCACTGTCGACATCTAAAAATGACTAATTTTGTTTATTATTATTGACAAGTGACAGACTTAATCTACTGAAGAAGATCTTGGTGAAGATAGAAATCATTGATGAACGAGAACAATCGATAACTTGAAGAGTATAGACCATTCGCCAAAGAAGTTATCAACAAAATTATAAAATTTATCAATAAAAGCCTTTGTCAAATGACAACGAATTGACAAGAATGTAATTAGTGGGTGGTGATGGCAATAGCGCTAATTTAGGATTTTTTTGTAACTTCCAGTAAATAAGTGTTGTTGAGTAATATTTGTGGATAAGTATTGCTTTGACCACTGGATTAGAAAGTTATTTCTTCATTCAAATCGAGTAATTGTTGTATGTAATCGTCATATGTAATAAATTATCAAAGTGTGCTCTTCGTAAAGCTCCCTCAATTCATTCTTTTGCAAATTTATCATTATTTTTACTTTCCTATAACTTAAATGGCTAGGTGCAATTGCCTCTAATTTTATTACCTTTAGATTTCTTCTTATTTACTTTCCTATCAAAAAGTCAACAAAGTATTTCTCATCACTTTTGGTGAAATAGCCGCCTTGAGCTCAAGCTCCCATGGCCGCAAGATTGGAGCTCATCCACCAACCTGAACTTAAATGGCTAGTAGCGATGGCGGCCATGACCATAGAGCTAAAGCTCAAACATCTACGGCGACGCAACGTTGAAGCTTGAGCGCATATGGTGTTCGCGAGGAGAGAGAGAGAGTATGTTACAAATTGCTTAAATTGGCTAAGTTCACGTTGAAGTATTATCACACATCGATTGACAATAAATCCTAAATTTTATTTATATTCACGTGGTCTCCCTCCATCTAATAGTTTAAGCTTTTGGGTTGGATTTTCTAACATGATATCAGAGCTAATGCTATCCCTTTCGCGAATGTGTATGGTAAAAATTCCATGTGAAAGTACGATGTCAAAATTTCACATCTCCATCAATCTAATAACTTAAGAGATGTTCTAAAAATTCCATGTGAATGTGCGCTTCCCACTGCAGTAAAAAAGTAGAAGGATTACTGGTAATAGCAAGTAAAATTGGATCGGATTATATTTGTTTGTTATAAGTGCATTAAAAGTTCAAAAATTTGTTATGAAAGTGTAATTGAGTCTTAAAATTTTCAAAAAATGCAATTAATTCTTAAAACTTTTCACGAAAGTGTAATTAAGCTTTAAAATTTTCAAAAAGTGCAATCAATGCCTAATTAAATGGAGTAAACGGATTGAGTTTTAACACTCAATTGCACTTTCGCGATAAATTTTACGACTTGATTGCACTTTTTGAAATTTTAAGATTTAATTGCACTACTTTTAATGCACTTATTCTTATTTGTTTTTAAATGTAAGGAAAAAAAAAAGAAGAAAAAGAAAAAAACCTCCCGGTCCGGACCGAGAACAGGAAATATATCCTGCCCGGCGATCTCGCTTCTCTCCGTCCCCGTGCCATCTCTCTGCAGAATGGTGGATCCCTGCATTTCCCATTCGATCGTCTCCGTCTGCTACTGAGCGAGCTCGAGGTGCAACAATGGTGAAGAACTACGTGAGGGAGAACGTGCCCCTCTCCCGCTTCGGAGTGCTGGTGGCGCAGCTGGAGTCCATCGTCGCGTCCGCCTCCCAACAGCCGCCGGACCCGCTCCTCTGCTTCGATCTCCTCTCCGATCTCATCTCCGCCATCGACGAGGAGCCTCAGGTACTCGCCTCGCTCCTCCAAATCCGTCGGAAGTCGATGTTTAAGCTTAAAGTCGGTCACCGGCGCGGTCTCCACGTCGTCCGCGCCGGATCGGGTGGTCGGATCCCGGAGCTGGTCATGAATTCCGAGCCGTAGATCCTGAATCACCTGAACTAGGCGTTTAGCTCAGTTTCTGTCGTGCGCTCTCGCTGTTGGAAGAGTTTCGCCGTTTGAAACTCTCTGCTTGACATTATGCTTCTAGGTAGTGCGTGTATGGGAGGATGTGGTGGGGATGAGTGTAGAAGCTCTTAGAATGATTGAATTGTTTGCGCAATCTGTACCGTCATCTTGCCGAGTATTGCAACGTGACTCGGATATTGCTTTCGTTCAGGAATCGATACTGCTATGGCAAAGAAAATGCGAGGATGCGCTGTATTCTTTGCTTACTTTGGGTGCCCGAAGGCCGGTGCGCCACTTAGCGTCTGTGGCGATGGCGAGGATCATTTCCAAGGGAGATGGTATTTCGATATACTCTCGAGCGAGCAGCCTCCAAGGATTTCTTTCTGATGGCAAGAGGAGCGAGCCACAGAGAGTTGCTGGTTTGTCTAGGATCCCTGTTTTTTCCCCCGAGTGAAATGTTTAACATAAATTTTTTTTTTATTGTAATTACTGAATTTGTAGTTTCTTTATATTCATTTCGTGTGAGATCTTCCTGATGGTGCCGTGCGTCTCAAATGTTAATTAGTGCAAGTGAACTAGTTAATTGCTTAGGTCCTCTTTTCAGCCAGCTTTTTCCCCATGTTATCCTTGTAAATGTCCACAAATCTTTCTCAATTTGTCGAAATGAGAATGAATCCTATTGATCACCATCCTCATTACCTGCCAAAATAGGTGGTTAGTGTGCAGGGTCTATATTGTTCATTGCGGTTATTATTGATTGTATCAAAAAACTATATGAGATTATTAATTAGGTTAGAGGTTTGTAGTTTGCCGCAGTGTTTATGTGCTTAGCTCTACAAGGGATATGTCCCATTCACTACTTTACTCTTTGTCATGCAATTGTTCTCTAAAAGCATAGTTAGGCTTAGCAGTCGGGAAATTTGCTGCTTGGAAAGGCTTTCCAGCTATAAAAGTTCTTAGTTCATAAGTGTTTGTGAATCTTGCTAGTTCTCTACCAGTAAGAAATCCATGCTGGATATTCATATCCTCATGACCATCAGTATCATCCTTTGAAAGCTTTGTAATCTCAAAAGAGCACACTTCTTTAGTGTAGGACCATTCTTATAGCCTATCCAGCCTTATCTTCTTGATATATTTTGGAGACCTTGCGCTTTTTTATATTTTTTCGTTTCCAATGATCATCTTTACGATTCTTAACAAACGGTTATCAGCTTTTAAATTGTGAAAAGGATCGAATTGTAAATGAATTGTGACCTGATTGGACAATTTTTGTTCACTTTTGACTCACACCTTGAAGTTGAATTGTTTTGTATATGGATCAAATTGAATTGTGATGGTTCGAATTGTGAGTTATGCGAATATAAATACACTTGTTAAGAGGTAGGACTCTCGAATAATCTTGCTTCCACAATGGTCGTTTACTAATGGCAACATTTAATAAAATTTAAATCTGAGGACAACACTTTACTTGAAAACTTTAAAGTATTATATTGCCATTGAGATGTTCCATTATAAATAAAATTGCTCCCTGTAAGTAATTTGATGCATTCTGTAGCTTCCTTACACTTCATTTTTCTCTTGTACTCTAGGTTTGTATTTCCCTCCCTTAACTAATACTCTAATGCAATTCTGTAGGGGCTGCACAGTGTTTGGGTGAACTATATCGGCATTTTGGGAGAAGAATCACTTCAGGTTTACTTGAAACGACCATCATTGTAACTAAACTTATGAAGTTTCATGAGGTACATTTCATCCCTTGCATCTCTAGAGTATTTATTCTTGCAAGGCAGCTGGATTAAAAGAGGGCTTTTGTTTCTTTATGGTTCAATATCACCTACTTACATCTTTCTTTAATGATGCCTCTCCCCCAACAAAGAACAGAAGAATTGGTAGTGATGCGTTCTAGTGTGGAGTTTTGAAGTTAAAGAAGATGATGCCAATTTTGTGATAAGGAGGCTGTATGTCCAAGCATCCACTTGGACATTTTTTTTTGTTTGTGGGTTTGCATCCCCTTGGTGCCCTATAATCTTTTGCTTTAATCTAGTAAAAAATGTTCAATGCATCCATCGCATGCGTTTTGCTTTTCCTTTTTACATAATGAAATAAGGTTGACTCCCGAAGTTGTACCAAGTTATGTTCTCTTGAACTTTCATAGCTTGAGCAGAATATGCTACCTATTTTTTTCGGTTTTTCTTTGAAGAGTTCAATATAATTTCTTTTTGTTACAATGTTATTTTCTCATACTCAATTGGAATTCACATAATCATGGAAAGCCCTGAGATGATTGCTGCTGGAAGTTAACATGGTTATGGACATGATTGACTGGGAAAATGGCTAGCATAATGCAATTATGGTTTTCAATTGTTGTCGCCGAAATTTTCTTCCGTTCTCTTGTTTTCTACTTCAGAGGAGTACTGGTTGTTCGTTATTTCATCCTAATGTCATCTTGCTGGGAGTTGCAGGACTTTGTTAGAAAGGAAGCTCTCCATATGCTCCAGAATGCCTTAGAAGGCTCGGGGGGCTGTGCTGCCTTTTCAGCATATACTGAGGCTTTTCGTCTTATTACACGATTTGCTGTGGGAGATAAATCATTTGTAGTCAGAATAGCTGCTGCAAGGTGTCTCAAGGCATTTGCAAATATTGGAGGACCAGGTTTAGGAGTTGGAGAACTCGACTCTTCAGCTTCTTATTGTGTTAAGGTGTGGCGATGATGTATTTTGCTTCCTCATAGTCATAGCCAGTTTGTTTTCATAATTAACCCATTTTTTAACAGGCCCTCGAAGATCCGATTTCTTCTGTTCGGGATGCTTTTGCTGAAGCATTAGGGTCGGTGCTTGCTCTTGGAATGAACCCTGAGGCACAAGTATATATCTAATTATTATTGGTTTTCATAGATGATGTTTCTTTTACTCTACAGTTGCATTCTTGTGTTCTTCCTAGGTTCAACCAAGGGGAAAAGGACCTATTCTCGTGGGCAAGAAACTAGAGGGTGGTTTGGAGAGACATTTAACATTGCCTTTCACAAAAGGTGTTACCAATTTAGATAAAAAGAAACTGCTCATCCTATGTCCTCTACTCTTCTGCTTTTTGGTTGAATGAATGTATTTTTATGAAGTGTTCGGTTATGAAATGGAATACGACTGGAATGAAAATTCCATGGGAGTAAAATAGAGCAGGAACGGCAATCTAATAGCTATTTGGTCTGCAAAATGGAATGTTTTTTTGTCAGAATTATGTATTTGTTTGGTTAATCAAAATTAATAGGCAAATAAGCTAAAGATAACAATAGAAGATTAAAATACTTTCTTGTCGACTTTAGTCAATATGATGATCAAAGCCCATTTTGTTCTGTACTTACAAAAAGAATAGAAACAGTTTGAGGTGGTACCACTGCTAGACAAAAGTTATAGAGAAAGAGAGTGTACAAAGTCTAACAAGCTGCATGCTGAAATATAATTTCTGCAGTAACCCCAACTCAAAACCTATAACCACCTTACTATACTTCAAAAGAATCGAGCTTGACATAACTATTCAAAACTATATTTTTAGGATAGTATATTATATACCTGGTGCCTGAGGTTCTTCTTTTAAGTGATTCATATGTGTTGCACGTGCTTCATGGTTTTATTATTTACTATACGTGTGCATTTTCATGTGTGTACACTTGAAGTCCTTCTCCCGTCCTCAGACTTAGTATGTTCTTCATGGTGTCCAAACTACTCTTAGCTAATATTTTAAATTGCAGCAAGTGGAGCTCGTTCCAAGGACCTTAAAATTGGTATAACTCTGTCATGGGTCTCCTTTTTACAGGTATGCAGTCAGCTATGTAAGTTTATCTTCTTTTCTTCAGTACTTTTGTTCACTGTGATAATTTCAATCTTTCTCTCAAGAGGAGGATTCAAAATGTCGAAGCATGTGAATTTCTAGAGCATCTGTCTTTATTTGCCTTTTTTCTGATCATCATTGGATTTTCTTTTGGCCTGATATCCATTCGACACATTTTTCTCATTTCCTGGTACTTCTCACTCGGAAAAAAAAGGGTTAGATGTGGAGTGTTTTTTGTTGCCCCTCATATTCTTGTTATTCCCCTACTGGGATCGCAATGTTCGTTTCTGTTAACGCAGTGCATTTCATAGGCCATTCGTTTGAGATATCTACGTCCAGATAGTGAGCTTCAAAACTTCACTCCTCTGGTTATGGACATGCTTCGTGCAGACAATTCTACTGATGCCCATGCGCTGGTGCGTTCTTTGAATTTATCCTGTTTTAACTTTGTTTTTTGTGCCCAGAATTCTCATTTTTCTTTGTCAAATAACAAATCTTCATCATTAAAATTGTTTAGCAAAGATGAAGTACCATAAGCTATGGAAAGGGAAAATGGAGATTCTATTGTGGATCTATTCGGTTGCCTTTCTTTTTAGCTGTTTAAGTTTTCTCCAGTATCCCATCATTCGTTTACGATAATCCTTAATCATTACTTAGTAGTGGATGTGCATTTTAAGGGTGTGTTAGTATGAACTATGAGCTTGATTTTAAGTTTATAGAAAAACAGAAGTAATGAAAATGTCCGGATCCAGATACAAAGAGTGGCCAACACTTTAGTTGTACGTCACGGTATTGAAAGATGGTGGGGCCATTTTGTAGAATTCTAGCAGTGATACTGATGGCAAGAAAATGCAATTTCTTTCTTAGTATGTGATCTTCTAGTTAGTGCTATATATCCAGGCCTTAGTGTTAATGCTTATTATTAGATGTTTTTTGTTCCTGATCTCACTGGAAGCATTGCTGTCATGTTGAAGATGCTGTAGGGTTTTAGTGGAAGTTTGACACTCATTATTCTTCTTGATAACATGCTATTCAAAGCTTTCAAATGTATGAACGTCCTTATTCAAGGCTACTGATGCATTTATGGTTTTGAAAGGCATGTGTTCTGTACATTCTTCGAGTGGGTATCACTGATCAAATGATGGAACCTACTCAAAGGAGCTTTTTGGTTTTTCTGGGAGAGCAGGTTTGTGATTATCATTTGCTGTAGATCTTTCCATTCTTGATTAACAAATTTGATTGCTGGGTTCCTATAAATTGTGTTATTTTATCAACTTATGATCAAAGTATCTCTCCTTGGGTAATTTGCAGCTTCAGTCCCCTGATTTTGCTCCAGCAATGAAAGTCGCTGCTTTTCGTACCTTGTCATATACTCTCAAATCGGTAGGAGAGGTAAGCTCTAAAAAATTTCCACTTAATGACTTTCTCTCTGTGAAGAAGTATAAATGGGGATTCTGCAATTACGCTGGTAGGATTTTGCTATACCTTATCATTCAAAACTGGCGGAGCTATCCACTATGATGACATAACTTGTCTAATTCGGCTTGTGCTTAGATACGCAGATAGTGTCCACGTATGATAAATTGTTCTCTGGCATTGTGACTTCTTGACCTCTCTAAAGCATCTTCTAGTTGTAGTAATTCACGACGTATGTTTTGGTTACGATACATTATGATAAGTGGAAGACTATATGACTTGATATGGCATTGGGCGGTGCATGTTTCTTTTTATGCAGGTTCCGTTTGAATTCAGGGAAGTTCTTGATGACACAGTGGTTGCAGCAGTTTCGCACTCTTCTGAACTTGTAAGACGTTAGCTTCATTTCTTCAATGAGATGAAGGTGGATAATGTTGGTTGGATATTTTCCTTTTGAATGAATAACTTCCGATATTTGTGCATCTTATCCCGGGTTTTTCCTTTTTTCTGTGCTGTTTGGCATGCGTGCTTTTCTTGGTATGTGTTTTGCATGAGCCATTGTTGCATTAAGGCAATGGTTGCTGAAATAATCCAATGATGGGAAGCTTGCTAGTAACTTGATTTGCTTTGATTAGTCATATCCTAGTTACTTTAGCTGCATGCAAGGTAGTCAAACTCGGTTTTTTTCCTTAGATTGGTGAGGCTCCCATAAAATCATATAGTAAGGTTGAATCAGAAAAACGCATTATTATTCGCACTTTATAAGTAAAACATAAAGTGTCTCGAGTTGAGTCTCATATAAATTAGTGATAAAGCTCCAAATATTAAATTTAGCAATAAAACCAACTTTAGAAAGTAACATTCTCATATGCCATTTGATAATAGCAGCACCCTTTCAGATTTCGTAGATATATGTCATTGTGACTCTAGATATGTTAGCAATTTACTAAATAATTGCGAAATTTAACTTATCGATCAATTCGGAACTACTAGTACAAATCTTTATAGCAGCACAATTTCAAATATTGTGAAATGAATTCACCAAAAGAAAGTATGAAACAAAAACATGTGAAGCAATGTTACACCCCCACAATGAATAAAACTTGTGGAGCTCGGCCAACCATTGAGATGTCATGGGTCATCAAGAATGAATGACTTATGTCTGGTGGGAGTGCGAGAAGTGAATAGAAGAGATAGCTACTTACTATTGGCGCCCTAATCTGTTTTGATCATGAAGATCTGAATATGTTTTTGTTTTTATAACATTTTTACACCTAAGCATTGGCGAAACACACCATTTCACTAAGCATCAATGCATTTGTGGGATTGTTTTATTTTTATATTCTTTTGGGCATTATTGAGTCCAAAACTTTAATAGAATTCACGTGGGCACGACTGAAAGACAACTGCCGATCTGGAACGAGTTGACTTGCAATTTTAGTGAGCTCACTAAGTCAACTTGCGATTTAACCTAGAAAACGATTTCAAAGCAATTTAACTCCGTCCCCATGATTTTACAATCGAAATTGCGATTTTAACTACCATGGTTGCTTGATATTGGATGAAGCAAGTAGTGAATACATTTTAGATGAACTAGCTCATTTTGGAAAAAGAATTTGGTGTACTACGGTATTTCACAATTTATTTTCTGGCTTTTGAGCATGCTTCTGTGTCCATGTGAAATGTGCATAGATATCCTGAAAATTGCTTGGTACTTCTGTCCTTTCTATTATGTGAAAATGTGTGACTTTGTCTTGACAGTGTCGATGTTGCTTACCTTGGTGCCAATAGTTATACTTAAATCTCTTGGCTAGGTACGTATTGAGGCGGCTTTGACATTACGTATGTTGGCTGAGGTTGATCCAACATGTGTTGGAGGTTTGACATCTTTTGGGGTCACCACGCTTAATGCTTTGAGGGAAACCGTTTCTTTTGAGAAGGTACTGTTCTCATGGGAAAGAAGCTTGTTTGTTATTCAAAATGCTTTTAATTGATAATAGGAAAGATGGTTTGTTTCTTCTGTGTTTTTCTGTGGTTTTTATTTTGCATGTTGTTTTCCATTTAGTTGTTTATCGAGTGCAGAGATATTTTTTAATAAGCTTTTCTCCTTGAATATTTCTCTGTATCGACTGGAAGTTGGATCAAAATTGTTTTTTGGTGTCTGTAATTGATACAGAATTTGTCTGCATTACTTTTACAACCAATTGGCATATCGTTATGGGTAAGAAACCAAGGTGATTGGTTTTAGGTGATGTATTTGCAATATGATTGCTCTCATTCTCATATGGGATTGAAAATCTTTCTTTTCTGAACATTTGAGGCTGTGTTGAACAGTTGTTTTTTCTCAAAAGCTTAAGCTTTTAGGATACGTGCCCATGATGTGTACCAAGGTATACCTCAACACTTTCCCTTTGAGTGGGACTATACCAGTGAAACGTTTGATGGTGTAACCACATTAGGCGACAGCGGGAAGACAAATAAGAGTGACAAACATAATGACAACAAGGATTGCAAAGATTCGAACCTTTGACCTGAAGCTTTTATACCACGTTGAATGACCATTTCCCCTTAAGCTTAAGCTTTCAGGAAACATGCCCACAATGTATATCAGGCATTTATCCTAACAGGAGGATTTTCTTTGAATTGACTAATTGAATAGTCTTGCTTCTTCATTTTTTTCTAGCACCACATGCTAGATGAATGGGTTAAGGATCCTATTCCATGCAAAATAGAAATTTCTCTGCGGAATGTGTGCATATGCGGTGATTGGCAGTTAGGCTGAAAGTAAATGTAGCTATATCTGAGAAACTCTGACGAGTTGGAGTTTTGGGAACGTTAATGTAAGCAGTCTGGCTTGCCTCCAAAGTAGAGGCAGGCTAATCCCTGAAAATGCCCTTCCTTTGGAGTTGGGGTTCCAAATCTTTTCATTTTTTATTCTTGATATAGTGAATTTAGGGCTTTAGCCTTTTATAAATTCCAAATTGAATGTAGCCTTCACACAAAGGCGAGGTCCGCCCCAGCAAGGGGGAAGAGGAGTGGTGATGCAGGATTCTTCCACCAGACTACTTTTCTGACTTGAATTCATTCATAATACGGTACAGGAACTGGTTTCACAAAAGGTGTCTCGAACTCAGAAGGGAAGGAGGTCGCTCGCACACTTACTTGAGTAGTGCGGGAGACCGTCGAATAGAAAGGAACATGAGATCGTACCTGCAGATGCTAGGGGCATATAGTTTCTTAGCAACTTTGTTTAGACCTCTCTCTCTCTCTCTCTCTCTCTCTCATGTCACCTTTTGATTGGAAATTATTGCATACCTCTTCTTCTTTATCGCTTTTTGAAACCCAAGGATCATAGTGGCCTTGGGCAATGTCCAGGGAATTTCTACTTTGGAGTAGTTCTGATTTCTTTTGTGTGGTGCATTATGTTTGACCATTTGATGTGACATTCTGGTTTCTACATTCTTTCAAAGTTAATCTTCCAGGTTGTAACAATCTTTGGAGCCTTTAATTGACACAGTAATCAAGTCTTTGTTGCTTGTGAAGTGGTGTTCTTGACTTGAAACGGAATAAGTAATGATTCGGGGGTCATATTTAGTGGAAGCATGTTAGTTCGTGTGCTTTTTGATAGCTAATGGGAACTTCGTTCTGTTTGCAGGGAAGTAATTTAAAGCTTGAACTTGATTCGTTGCATGGCCAGGCAATGGTTTTAGCTGCTCTAGCATCCATTTCGCCCAAATTACCACTTGGCTATCCATCCAGGTATGCATGCTTCTCGTGTCTTTACTTCTCCATTTCTTGGGTCATGGTCATGCTCTTATACAATCTTACTCGGCAACTTTAGCGGGTCTGCCTTTTGGTATGTCCACTTTGTTGGGGTGGGTAGAGGAGTGGAAGTAGATTTTGTTCTTAAATTTGCCTTGGGTGAAGATGGGTGGTCTAACTTACATGAATTGAAATAGATAGTTATAATGGTGGGTGCAATTGCAAATTTAAGTGTGGTATGATGCAGCTTTGGAACTTATTTTTGTTGGGAGTGTAAAAATGATGCTGGAAGTGGCTGATTCTTTTCCTTTTCTTCAGTGATGCAATTTCTTCAATAATAATGCACTTGTCAAATGGCCATCCTGCATCATCTGAATAAAAACTTAGAGCTATTAACTTAGTTCCCCTATTTCAAGCACAATAATAGGATTGTTGTCTGTTGTCACCTTTAGAAAGTCCAGATCTTCCTCTGTCATAATGATGTATCACCAAACAGTAAGTATGGTATAAGGTCCTGTGTTGTTGTATACTTGTACTTATGTGAGCTTGCATGCATGTGCATGCAGAGTTTGAAATGATCCAAAAATGCTGATGGCATACTTATTTCGTTCCTTTATCAGGCTACTACAGTCAGTGCTTGATGTTTTGAAGAAAATGCTGTTACAATCCAGCCCGAACCCTGTTGCTCACACCGTTGAAAAACAAGCTGGGTGGTCACTTTTATCATCACTATTAGCTTCCATGCCAAAAGAGGTAGAATATATTCCTTTTGTTTTCGATAGCCTGCTGGCTGCTTCCGTTATTGATTTTTGATGCATGCAGGAACTTGAAGACCAGGTTTTTGATATCCTCTCATTGTGGGCTCCAACATTTACTGGAAATCAAGATCGTGAATTTGCACAAAATGCAAATCTAATAGCTCTTATGAGGTTTGCTGATATACCTATTGATGTCCATCATTAGTATGTTGGGATGCATCATCATCTGTTATTGGGTCTTGCAAAAATACTTTCCGTTTGCTATGCTGGAACACTAAGTTGGCCATTTTGTCATACATTGTCAACTTTATCCATGCGGCCTCTATTTAGCAGAAGCTTAGTCATCGGAATTGAGAACTTATTAATTCTGATAGAGTTCTGATTTGTGGTGAGCAAGTACTAAAATTTGAGTTACCATTCTGAAGTTGTTGAGAATTTAGGCCAGCTCATAAATGCATAGATGGATCTGGTTGACAATAAGTCTAGTAGATTGCTCTGGATTGGTTGGCATGTACTTACAATTCTCATCATGTGATGGCTGATGACGATTCTGAAATTTTGAAGTAAACAGAAAATGAGCTGTGACCACCACTGTACATTCAGACCAACTTCTCCTCTCGATCTAATTTAACCTTCCACCTTCAGCTACAAGCACAAGAAATCCACTTGCAACTTTCCATCTCTAATAACGGTGGATGATGTTCAGAGATTGGTCTTGGTTAGAGGTGTTACTCCAATCTTTATGAAAAGAATCTGTCTGCTTGTAAAAGAAGGCAATTTTCACAAACTTGATTATGTGAAGTTGCCTCCTTCTAATGGTAGATCAAGGAGCTCATTTTTGAAATCATAATTGGGAAGCTCTCTTGTGCCCATGCTATCCGCTGCAAACCCCATTTCTGTCATGTGCATACAAATTGGGGTGTACTTCATCAGCTTCTGTGCCTGGCTGCCTGGTTGATGTCATCCAATTTTAAATCATGACGCCTTAAAAATCCCTGAGAGTGATCTATCAGAACTTTAGGTGTGATGCACAAAGGAACTGACTATTTGTGAGTTATTGTCCATAGCAATTTCTAATCCATCGAGAGTTTTTGCAACGGGCAGTACAGATTCATGGAGTAGTTCTTGACACTTCTATACTGTTAAAAATTGAATCAAGTGTATGCCCAATGTAGCAAGACAAATTCTTAGTGACTTCCATAGATCTTAGTATACTGACTTTGAACTCCACAAATGACCGTGAAATAGGGTTTGACTTTTTGTTTCTACTGCATTAGTTCAATTGAATCAATCTCTCATTGTTGGAGATCTTTACCTTCCGTATTCTCATTTGACTTTTTGTAGCGTGTGGGAGGCTGCAATTGACGCTCTTGCGGCTTTTGTCAAATGCTTTGCTTCTCCTGATGCTGTAAACAATGGGATTTTGCTTCAACCTGTGCTGGTATACTTGAGTAGGTGTGGTTGCTTTCATGGAGTTTCCTTTCATTTTCCTGTTGCTCTTAATATTTCAATCTAGAACATCTTTTTATGCAGACCATCAGTAGCTCAGGTTTCATGTGTAGTCATGCTATAATTTGATTGTTGGCAGGGCTTTGTCTATCGTCTCATTGGTTAAAGCTAGAGAGTCTCCAAATTTGAAGCCTTCAATGGATAAGTTTGTCATCAAAATTTTAATTGCTTATCAGTCTCTTCCTGATCCAATGGCATATAAAAGCGATCATCCTCAAATTATTCAATTGTGTACAACCCCGTTCAGGTAATTAGTTCTTGTATTTGTTGATATCTCAGGAGTTTGTTTGGTGTTTGCTTCTAGTATACTTGTAGGCATGATTTTGACAGTGGTCATGTGTTGAACTGGACATATAATAGGGATGCTCCTGGGTGTGAGGAAAGCTCATGCTTGAGGCTAATACTGGACAAGAGAGATGCGTGGTTGGGTCCCTGGATTCCTGGAAGGTATCTGGTCTATCTAATATGATATATTTCTGTGTATAATTGGCTGATAAACACTAGATGTTGATTGACTCTCTCTCTCTCTCATGCCCGCGTGCACGAAGGAGAGCATGCAAATGGATGCGGGGAAAGAAGGGGTTTGTGGTTGGGGAGGGGGGGGGGGGGGAGATAGGGAAGGGACAGAGAGATCACTTTTGCATGTAGATAAAATCAGAAATCTACTTGGAGAGCGTAGTCTCTTATGGGCTAATTGATTTTTGTTATTTGTTTTGATACAGTCATTTGTTTATTTTATGCTATTCCTTGTTAGGAAATCTTGCCGAACCTCAGAAGGTTTTGGACATAGTTCTTGGAATATCTGCCTTGCATTAAAAATAAAAACTATGCCTTTCCTTTTTTTTGGTTTCAGCTATTTAGATCGATTTGCCTCACTGTATTCTATCCAGTGCTATTTCCTCCAAAAGATTAACGTGTTTTAGGGGTCCTCCAATAGAGTTCTAAGCTTCTACTTAATGTTTTAGATCAACAAAAAAGCTTGGATCTTTTGGTTTGATTTACTTTAAAGTTGCCGATTTTTCATGTCCACACGATCTTCTATGAAATTCGTTGCATCTTATATTGGATAAGGGAACAATTTTCTTTAAAATACATTAGCCTTATTATGTCGTCGTATTGTGCATGTCTATAAATCAGCTACAGCACACTTGTCAAACGACTTTTGTTTTGTGCTCATTTTGAATGTGACAATCGCAGAACTGAATTAGCAAATGGTTTTGGTAATTTTCCTTTAAAGAAAAATGACAGAAGAGAAGAAACAGGCAATTTAGACGGTTAATAAAATAAAAATTTGTGAAAGTGTCTTTTTTCAACATCAAGTACCTCTTGTATAAAATGCTAACGCTGTATACATTGTCTAGTGTAATAAGTGCTTTTCAGTATGTAACTTTGGACTTTTTTTGAGAGCTATGAGAATGCTGAACTTGCTATGCCGATAAGTCAGATGTGGCAAGCTTTCCTCCGCCTGTTCCAAGTACTGTTACCGTTAAGCTTAATTGTGTAGCATGCACATGTTCAAATAAAACCATTTTTTCTTGTTGTGTACACAGGGACTGGTTTGAAGATGAGCTTCGTGCATTCCAAGGTGGAAAAGATGGGCTTATGCCTTGTGTTTGGGAGAGTGGACATTCTAGTTTTCCTCAGGTAAAAGTGTGTTTGCCTGCATTGGGATTCCTTTATTGCATGTTGGGGCTTATCTTCATTTGTAATACGAAAGATTAGGTGTTAATGCATACACCACCATAATCTTGCTTGTTTTTGATAGAGTCTCATCACTAGTGGATTATAAATCTTCACTATGCACCAAAACAGTATAAGAATAAGTGCAATCACAGTTAGCAATAGTATCGACCAAAAGCGAGAATTGCACAAGGGAAAACGTTGAAGCACAACCGGGGCTTTTCCCACTATATTCTGTACAGTATCTGGATTGTCCATCTCAAGCTGAAATGTATGCCTCTTGCTGCAGAGAGGTCAGGCTTTTGCTCAATTGTGCAATAACAGTAATCAAAGTACGCCATATTATTTGGCAATCGGTGATTTCAGCCTATTAATTCCCAACTTAATCTCTTGCTTGCTGCTGAGTGGTTGAGGAACCATGTGAAAATTCTCAGCTACCTAGATGAGAACATACAGATTGAGTTTCAGTTCATGGGATGAGGTCTCTATGGAGGCTTTGCTTGTTTTGGGAAATTCTTTTCATTTTCTTAGCATCTCCAAATGAAATTCTGTATTCTTTACATGGTCATGGACTTACTGCTTTTATGTAATTTGACATGTAGCCGGAGACTATAAGCAAGACAGTGGTGAACCAGAAGCTCTTGTGCTTTGGAATCTTGTTTGCTTTTCAAGTAGGCAGACAAAATTAATTTATAGATATTTAGTGGTCCATAGTTGGGCATTGTGATGTTCTCAGTGCAATGTATGTTCTTTTCCAGGATAATAATGGAATGCTATCACTTCTTGGAACTATCGAGCAGTGTTCGAAAGCTGGAAAGAAGCAACAATGGCATGCTGTCAGTGTCACCAACATCTGTGTTGCCTTGCTTGCTGGACTGAAGGTATTGATCTTTTTACATAATCAACAAGATTATGGAGGATTGCTGTTTTCAGTGAGCGGGGTTGCAAGGCCAAGCAGCTCAGTTTTCAGAGACCAAAAAAGAATTGGGCTCAACCTTTTCTGTCTTTAATTTGTACAGGCGTTGCTTGCATTACGTCCGCGCATATTGGGGCAAGAATTGTTGAGCATATTACAGACTATTTTCCAGGTGGGACCTCAATGATAGCAATTGCTTGGTAACTGTTCCATTGTCATCGTTTTATACAATACTTGCACCATGTCCACAGAGTATTCTAGCAGAGGGAAATATTTGTGCTTCACAACGTCGAGCATCAGCAGAAGGCCTTGGTCTGTTGGCTCGTGTTGGAAATGACATTTTCACGGCAAGATTGGTTGGTTCTCTCTCATGATCTGTATGCAGTGTTTCTCTTCTCAAATAATTAGAACCAATGAAACTTGGGATGCATCTTTTTATTGTTGAAAGTCTTTTTGACCTTTTGCTTTTGTGATAGTACACTTTCTCTCTCTCTCTCTCTCAATTGTTGTTTGTGTTAAACAGACTAGATCGCTTCTTGGCGAGTTAACTGCAGCAACAGATACTAATTATGCTGGTTCAATTGCTTTTGCACTGGGATGCATCCATCGCTGGTAAACCATCATTAGTCCCTTTTTGTCTTTCTTTGCGTTCAGTTTTTCTTACTAGGCTGTCGTTGTTTTGTGGAAGAATATGTTCGTTACTCTTTAAGTACGTTGGAATGCGTTTTCTTGGTCAGAAGAAAATGTGTCATTAGATTGAGACATGGGTAACTCTTTTCACAGTGTATCTCATTTTCTTGGACTTACTATAACTAATGATTTCGACTGCACCACCACCATCAGCCAAACTACGACCACAGCCATCCATTGGCTGCACCTCTTGCCACTACTAGTTCCCTCCTTCACCATCGATCGACGACTTACCGCTGCCTCCTGCCAGCTGGCATCACCAGCAACAGGCTGCTGTCTTGGCCACAATTTATCACTGGCTGCTGTAGCTGCCATGGGCCATTGGTTATTCAAGTCCATGCTGTGTTCTCCTTGCAATCCTTGGCTGCCCAACCATCTCATCTGCCATTGACAGCACTACCATCTATAGCTTTTTGGCTGGCGATGCTTCTGGCAGCTACTACTACCACAACACACATAAACATCAGAATTTGTGATCTTGTAACTTGTTTTCAAGAAAGGGTTTTTTGAGGAAAACATTTTCCATCGGAGATTAGATTACAGAGCAAAAGTATGACATACAATGAGCAAGAGGAAAAAGCTACTCGTAGATATTTTCATATTTTAATATGTTTATCTCATGCCTTGGGATTGAAGATTTCTCGTTCATGGAAGATATAGTACTATAAATTTTTGAAATTTGTGTAACTGATTAACAAGTAAGCTTTCAGTTTCTTTTTAGATGGTGGGGAATCTCTCGTTGCTGCATTAAGAAAAATATAATTTCTCGATATCAACGAATAGACAATGATTTCCATATTTGTACCCCTCAATGCCGATGACTTTCTACATGTCCCATTTTTCTTCGATTTCTTAATTAGGGGTCATAATAGTGCTATTGGTGAGGATTCTGAATTCTCTTTTGGACCACTCTGTGCAAAGGAGTTTAGAGAAGAACAAATGGAATATAAGAAACAAGAATATGAAATGCAGGCTGTTCTCTTGGCACGTCTGTTTTTTCCTTGGAGGACTAAGCTTCTTCTTACATGCTGCAAATAATTTTGTTTTGACAAATGTCAATGCTGCAATAAGTTGCCGATACTTCTAGGTTTTCTTATACTTAAGGAATTTTAGAGTAGAAGCAAATTTATCTCTCTGGAATCAGTCCAGTAAAGTTAAGATGGTATCACCAAGAACAGTATAAAAATCTGTGAGAAGAAAAATGCACAACTTTGAAGTTAATTGATAAAATGTAAACCACGATAGCTTTTCATGGAGAAACGAAAAATAGGTCATTGTTTCATGATATCCTTTGGTATACAGTGTTGGTTATAGAATATGACTTGGTAACTGATTAATATCTGCATGAACGGCAAAGCTTCCCACTTGCAGTACATCAATGTTGTCGATTATTTAAGCTTCCGGTTGTTATGGAACCTGTCACTTTCCATGACACTCCTGTATGTTTATATATTTTTATTTATCTGATGTGCAGTGCAGGAGGAATGGCATTGTCAAGTTTAGTGCCTTCAACTGTGAGCTCAATCTCCTTGCTCACGAAAAGTTCAGTGCCAAATCTACAAATATGGTCTTTGCATGGACTTCTTTTGACTATTGAAGCTGCTGGTTTGTCTTATGTATCTCATGTTCAGGTAATCCAATTTTAGGGTGCTTCTCAAGAATTAATCGTATTAACTTGTTGTGCTCCTGCAATCACCTTAAAAGGGCATTTGAAACTCTCATATTGCTTCTGCTGGTAAAGCAGCTCATGAAAATGATATTTTTCTCTTCTAGAGGATGGTATTTCAGTGACCTGTTGGTCCAGTATTGTGTCCTACAAGGAAGTTGAAACACTGATATTGCTCCTGCTAGTAAAGCTGCCCATTATGTCGGTTTAGACACAGACACCGCGTGACGAGTTTGATTTCTTTGTCCGCATGCGCAGGCAACACTTGGCCTCGCAATGGAAATTCTTTTGTCTGAGGAAAATGGATGGGTTGACCTTCAGCAAGGTGTTGGCCGCCTTGTAAATGCTATTGTTGCTGTTCTTGGTCCAGAACTGGCCCCCGGGAGCATTTTCTTTTCCCGTTCTAAGGTACTTTGTAAATTAGTGCTGGAGAAAGTCTAAAAATAAGCTATTTGAATATTAGCCTTTTCTCATAACTTTATTTGGTTTTAGCGTATAGTCATTAGTTCTCTCCATTAATATGACCAACTGGGCATTCAGTCTGTTATTGCAGAGATAAGCTCCTGGCAAGAAACGGCCACACTCCTTGAGTATGCCTTGTTTCCTTCTGATCTTTCTAATTTTTATACTTTTGTATTGGATATTTCCTTTAAAATCAAGAGATAGACCTTCTCTTTACAGTTAAGGGGGCTTGCCTATAGTCCATCTGTGGATCAGCTTTTATCGTAGTAATCTAGTTTATTGGTGCACCAGGAGTGTCCGCTTCTCGCAGCAACTTGTTCTTTTTGCACCACAAGCTGTCCCTGTGCACTCCCATGTGCAAAGTCTTCTCCCAACTCTCTCCTCAAGACAGGTTCTCTTCCTGGATTTCTATTTATTTAACTATCCTTGACCGTTTAGGTGTTTAGCCAAAAACAAAAAAAACTTATGTGGCAAAGAGCACTCACGGTGTATAATTAACAACCCTCGTCCCCCCCAGAAAAAAAAAAGTCTAAGTGGCTGGTTACATTACAGGGGGCAGGGCTGCTTCCCCAGACCTCCTCCCCCTACCCCTTATATATAATTATGGTATCTAAAGAAGTTCCTTCGTATTAAAACAGCCCATCTTAAGGCATCTTGCGATTTCTACCCTGCGACACCTCATTGAAAAGGACCCAGTAAGTATAAAATTTTGTTTTACGAAATTTCCTTCCTCTTGCTCTATGCATCAGAGTCTTGTCTTGATGAGTTGGATGCTGCGCCAATAATTTCCTTTGTCAGGAATCAATAAAGGAGGAGCAGATTGAAGAAAATTTATTTCATATGCTGGATGAAGAAACTGATTCCGAGTGCGTAATCATTGCTGTTTGTTATTTGTTTTGAATGTTAACTTGGTATTTTGGTTGCATAGATCCTTCCCTAAGAATTGGATGTGCTGTCGGCCTAGTTTTTACATAGTTACAATATATATGAGTTTCTTATATTGTTGTTTTTGCAGTATTATGTGTTCTGATTTATAGTCTGGCCAATTATTTTTGCATGGGAAGGCCTGTTAACAGCAACCTCTCTCTCTCTCTCTCTTTTTGCATTGAGTAGTTAAGTGAGAATGCCTTATTTTTGCTGGGAAAGGCAATTGAAGTGAAATGATATCTAGTGAAAGTTCTTTGTATGAATGTTTGGGTTGTTTCCTTCAGATTTGTGTTCCAGGCTTAGAGGTTTTGTTGTAATAGAAGTAACTTAGTTGATTCATTTATGCATCCTCATTTCAAAGCACTTCACTTATCTTACTCGATGTGAAATTGAGGTGTCTCTTTTTGGAGATACAATTTAATCTGAAATACCAAAGATTGCAACTCATGTTTTCTATACTATGGTACACAAGTATTCAAAAATAATAATAACCACCGTTTCTGATCTAAGTGTAGAGATATAAGTAATATTATATAACTCTCTGTTTGTGTTCATAAAATCTAAATTAAAGAAGATTTCCATTTGGATTATATATTTAAGTTTGTCTTCTTCTTCTTCTTCTTCTTTTCTTTTCCTTTTCATTTTTCTTATATTTTAGATACTATCATTTGAAGTCAACAGGACTCAGAGGTAACTAGTCACTAAAACTGTTCTTTGAATGGTTTTGGTTGTAAAATCGAACAACATGAGAGGGAGTGTAGCTGTCAACCAAATGGATATGAGTCTTCTGGGAAAAATTTAATGCACTGTGTGTGAGATATCTTGGGTGTGGTCACATAAAATCGACCAGTCATCCCTAGTTGCTCTAAATTTCAGAACTCGAATCTCTCTGACTTAATTCTCATCTCAAACTATGTAGTCCAGATTCCTGACTCAAGCCTGGTCAAAATACTTTGGTTAAAATATGTATGTGTATATATATATAGTGTGGTTGCATGGATCTACCAGATACTGTCATTGCCACTTGGACGCCACGTCCTTGTCTATGTTAGAATTTTGTCTGTGAGTATTTGATGGTGATTTTGGTTGTCAACAGTGAATATTGAAAAGATAAGTGCTGAGATGTATAACATTTACTACAGTCTGCAGTGTTGGCGATTATGCCGTCTTACTATCACTGTGTTAACATCACATGACAAGAAATTAGGATTCACGTCAGCTAGGGCTGTTTGAATTTCCATTATTGTCAGGATGATGTCTGCATCATAATGATAGTCAAGGTTGTTGATTTTAACATGTATCATAGTTGCAGTGGATGAAATCACTAATTACCACTGTGAGAGATTATTTTAGTATTAATACTCTATGCTCTGAAACCTAACTTATGGCTTGAGTTGGACAAATTCACCCTTGCTTTTGGCAGCAACATCTACAGGGAAACTGTTTCATTGCCGCAAGATGTTAGTACATGATCCAGACGAGTGTTTTGAAAGTAAATTGAGGTTGGAATAGCCAACTGGGAATAATCCTCACTAATGACACGTTTTATTGCTGAGGCTTGCCTATTCCCTATTGCATAGAGTACCTTGCATTTGTACCTTGAAAAGAATTCGCAGTGATCTAGATAAAGATGGCCTGAATCACTAACCAGGTCAAATTTGAACATAATGTGTAATGCTTACATAACCTTGATTACGACATTAATGCGGAATGATTGGAATTCTTGATACTCAGAAAGTGATACCTGTCAAAGATATGGGTGTAAGCTATCTGATAATTGTACTTGGCCAAATGGTATCTATATCTTGCCCATGCATTACTATGCTTTACCTGTCAATGTGCTTTGTCTGGTTCATCTTTCAGTTTGCAATTCATTTTAATGTTCAATGTTTGGAGATTTGATGGAATTGTTTGGTTTAAATCCATTTGCCTTCACAGGATTGGAAACTTGGTCCAATCTACAATCATGCGACTCCTCTATGCAACATGCCCTTCTTGTCCATCTCATTGGATTTCAGTTTGTCGTAACATGGTAAGATATTTTCTCAGAGAATGTTGTGTCTTACTCCCAGTGCTGTCATATAATCGGTTGATGGTTGCCAGGGAAGCAGGTGATGTGTTTTCCGTCCATCTTACATGTTTTTCCCTCGACACTTACATGGTTTTTATTCCTTCCACTGGACATGTATTTAATAGTGTATTGGATTTGCAGTAGTATCTGTGTCGCATTTAGGTGTAAATCTACTAAATTCACAGAGTGGTGCATTTTAAAAAAAAACGTAACTATACACATGACCACATCCTTTCCTGCAACTTCGATTAGATATTGTTCCATGAGTTCCATGGCAACTCCAGCGGCTAACGGTCGCTCAGAAGATTATTGCTCTCACCATGCAACTGCTATGACTGTCATGTAATATAGACTAGGGACCAATGAGATTGTCAGCCTAAGAATTCAAGTTCAAGAATCATTGTTTTTCACAAATGAGTTCCTCATTTCTTTGAAGCAAGTAATATATGTATTCAAATATTTCATTGTACTTTTGCAACTTCACTACCTTGAACTTGGCCATCATCTTGAATTTTTTGTCAAGAGCTGATTCCTTGCTCTTCTTGACCAACTTCTTGGTAATACAAGTTCTGAATTTTCTTGCTTTTATTTTGGTGAGTAGGATCTTTTTTAGGATCTTTGCGTCATATAATTCTGATATTTTATTCACCTTCACCTTTGACTTGATGTTAATGTGCTCCATACATTATTTATGCTGTTATCATTCTGCTATTGTGTATTTAACTTCTTGAGTGCGTAGGTTATGTATAATGATGTTGGTTATGCATGTTCCTGGTCTTTCTCTGCAATTTGTGGAGAATGGAAAATCCAGTATTAAAACTATTTCCTGAATGAATTGCAAATTGAGAATATTTGACAAGTTAGACCTTTGTCAACACTTCTGTAAATTGGGGAAGGACAGCGTTTTGCTGTTTCCAATTATGCAAGAGTTTTAGTAGCGCAAGGTCTTCCCTGAAACAGAGTTCATTTTGTGGTTGTGAAATGTTGTTCGCATTAAAAATCTCTACAGGTTCTTTCGACGTCAAGAAGAAAGACCGAAACTGAGAGAACTGTAGAGAATGATATATCAATTGGGACAGATGGTGAAACAAGCTTGGCTGTTGGAGGAGATGATGAAACCATGGTTGCTCATTCTAGAGGCATGTCCATGCAAGACTACCCCTACGAAGGATCTAGTGTTTATCCTAAACGTGATAAGCATCTTAGATATCGAACAAGAGTTTTTGCAGCTGAGTATGTTCTCTTTCTTCTTTTGAGCCTTTTTTACACATTCCTTTTCTATGTTGACGCAACGATATGTTAGAGCTGATTTAATATGAAGACAAATCTGCTTGATAAGTTTTGCTTTTGTTTCTAACTGTACTTTTGAGTTGCTTCAATATGAGCTCGAGGGCTTGCATGAACATGCAAGTATATGTACGCAAAATATATTTGAAAAGAAGGTTTCCTTCTATTTATCTGAAAACCTAAGTAAGAATCAGTTTGAGGACCTTATTGTACATGAAGTTCCCAGTATATCCAAACCTTAAGTTAATTATCCATCTTTTGGATCCAGGTGCTTGAGACATCTACCTGCAGCTGTAGGAAACGACCCTTCTCATTTTGATCTCTCATTGGCTAGATCCCAGTCCTCCAGAGGTCATGCTATGGGGGATTGGCTAGTTATCCATGTACAAGAGCTAATATCACTAGCTTATCAGGTACTTCGAATATAATATCACAATTACCTGACAAAACTGCATGAATCATTCCACATGCTGAGATTGACACTTCATGCTCACCTATGTACAACAGATAAGCACTATACAGTTTGAAAGACTGCAGCCGATTGGTGTGGAACTCTTAAGTATTATTATAGACAAGGTATCCCTGTTGGATTAGTTGGTTCTGCTTATTCTTTATCCATGGGACTTTATAATTGATTTTCTATCTTGTTATTTTGGACTGCAGTACCAAACAATCTCTGACCCTGAGCTTCCTGGGCATCTTCTACTGGAACAGTATCAGGTCTTTTAATGCCTTCTCCAACATTCTTATCATCAAAAGTGAAAAGCTGCTAACTTAAAAGATGTTGGTAACTGTGTTAAGGCCTCCCAAACCAACTCTATAGTAGATAGTTGTTGCGTTGATGTGCTAAGTCACAAGAAGATATCTTCCTGACTTTTTTTTGGGCCAGTGATATATTCTTGACTGATTCATCTGTTTGTAGGCCCAATTAGTATCTGCTGTCCGTACTGCTTTGGACACATCCTCAGGCCCCATTCTTCTGGAAGCAGGGTTGCAGCTGGCTACAAAGGTTCTTTTCTTTTAGCATCTGGCCCTCCTCCCCAAAGTAATTGTAAATCTAGTTAACCTTGTGCTGAAATGGCATTGAAAGTTATTGAGATACTGACATTCAATATTTTTCAGATTCTAACAAGTGGAATAATAACTAGTGATCAAGCTGCTATTAGACGTATATATTCATTGATTTCTCGCCCACTGGATGATTTCAACAACCTCTATTATCCTTCATTTGCAGAATGGGTTTCCTGCAAGGTGTGTTTAGGTGGTCTGACTATTATTTGACATTGTTTAATTGAGGGATCTGTAGGATCCCTTCTTCTTTTATTAATTTTCACCACTACTAATTGTTCTGACATAATTTACCTTCCTGTCAATTGAATTTGCAACACATATTAGATCAAGGTCAGACTCCTGGCTGCTCATGCATCTCTCAAGTGTTACACATATGCATTCTTGAGGCGACACAATAGTGAAATTCCTGAAGATTATGCAGCATTTCTTCCATTATTTGCAAAGGGTTCAATGGTTCTTGGAAATTTCTGGATAAGGATTCTGAAAGACTATAGCTATATATTCCTGCGGTTGCATCTCAGAAAGAAAGTAAGCCTGATCAATTTAACTGATACGTGTTTATCTTCTCTCAAACTTTACGGCATGTGTTGAAACTTCTTACTGAAGAAAATGACGTGTTCTATTCATGACCTTTCTTATTATGGTGGTTTGCTGACAGTGGAATCCTTTTCTTGATGGAATACAATCCCCGTTGGTTGCTTCAAAGTTACAACCTTGTTTAGAGGAAGCCTGGCCAGTAATTCTGCAGGCACTAGCTCTTGATGCAGTTCCTGCTAATTTAAGTGGACATGGCAACAATGTTCAACTCATATCAAAGGATAACTTAATATCTGGATATGGCATGGTTGAACTGAGTTCTGAGGAATTTCGATTCCTATGGGGTTTTTCACTTCTTGTTCTTTTCTGTGGGCAAGATACAATGCCTGAAAGAAGAATAACTTTGTGGGCTCCTGCTCGAGGTTGTCCGCCTGAAGATTTAACAATTAAAGATACAAATCCTCCAGGCTTCAATTTGTACGAGGTGGTTTTGCCAGTATTCCAGTTTTTGTCCAGTGAGAGATTTTTTAGTGCTGGTTATGTGACAGTGGAAATCTGCCAGGAACTAGTGCAGGTCTTGACCTCATCCTACTTCTTATATTCTAATTTTTTTTTGAGTATGCATTTTTGGTGTTTTGTTTAGTGTTTTGGCTTTGTTTGCACATCACTTCTTTATATGTTGGATCTTGAAGACTGACTGCAGAGCACTCTCTAGATGTCTAGTTGACATGTATAATGCAGTTACTTTACCTTGATATATGTCTTTCCCAGCCAAACTCAAGGCTGAACCCACTTTCTAGGTTTGCTTGCTTGTTGTTACCTTCTTTCATGCTGTTATTATGCAACTCCTTCAAATACTAATGAAAAAGGGTTTTGTTAACGAGTGGCTCCATGGCACTGGTTAACCATACCTAATAAAAAAATTTCATTTTTGACACAGTGATTGTGCATGACACGAAAAAACAATGCTTTGGAAATGGCGGACTGGTTAACATAATCCATTAAAGAAAACACTCTTTTGTCTGTTGTTCATCAAAAGAATTTCAACTTCCTTTCTCGTTACTCTCTTAGTTTGGAAAGAGTTCCTTTCTTCACTTGATTTCCTCCTGCAAGGATTTCATACAATAATTGTCTTATCTTTTGTATGGTTGTCCAACTCAACAAAAGGGTCTCTTCTTTGTGTCTGGGTCTAATTAACATCAATGTCGTCTTGCACTAGTAAACAATGATAACTTATGTGTTGAGTGAACTTACTGTTATGGTGTGCTTGTCATTCATTTTGCTTTGAATCCCAATTAACTCAACCTTTTTAAGAAAGGGTGCTTGATGTAGCTTCAGGGCTCTTGTGGTTTTAAATCTTGACTTTCCTTTAGGTCACATGTCTTTTGTTCCAGTGTTTTCAAGCTCTTGCTCTTCAATTAGTTTCACCTAGTTGCATTTGCATCCTATATATCATGTTTTTATCCCCGCTTACACAGGAAAGGGAATGTTGATGTAACATGCTTGCTTTGCATCATGGATCCGTTTCTTGACAACTTTTACTCGTGGGACGTCTGATTTCCGAACATGTTATAGTCCAATAGTTTTAGGGCCTATTTGGCAACTTGCCAAATAGTGTTTGATTATGTTCTTTTGTTCCCAGAATCAGTTTGGGAACAGAAATCCGTTTGTTAAATTTTTTGTGCCCGGGCACAATTTTGCAAAAAATTGGAACAGAATCAGTTTTGGAACAAAATCAAGAATAAAAAAAAGTAGCTTCTTGATTCTGGAACAATTTTTTCAGAACTGATTCTTCTTGATTTTTTTCTTTTTTTTGGTTGTTGTTGTTCTTCGGCCCCGCCGGCCGCCGGCCACAACTGCCAGCCACCGGTGACCGGCCACAGGCCAAGGCCGGCGAGGGTCCCCCTTGCCGCTTGGGCGAGGGCGGCTCGCGGCCTCGTCCAGCCAAGGCGAGGTCGACCTTGCCGTCGCCACCGGTGAGGGCGGCGGCGAGGGCCACAACGCCCTCGCCGGCCCTGGCCTGTGGCCGGTCGCCGGCGCTGGCGGCCAGCCATGGCCAAGAAAGGAAGGGGAAAGAAAGAAAAAAAAAAAAAGAGAAAAAAAGAAATAAATATTAAAAGATTCAAAATATTATTAAAATAATATTAATAAAAATAAATTTTGTGTAGTTACCAAACGCATTTCTGTTCTTTTTCTATTCTAAGAAAAAAAAATGTTGGGCAGTTATCAAACGCCTTCAAATGCTTAAAAATTGTTTCCGGGCACAGAATAAAAAAGAATCATTTCTGCCTAGAATCAGATTCTGGGCACAGAATGGTTGCCATGCGCAGCCTTAGAATTGTCATGTTTGCTTCCTTCCCCTGCCTTTTCCTTTGTCTACTACTTAGCACCGGATGATGTTCTTTCTCGTAGTCATCATCGTCTAACTGTAATCAATTACTACTTTTTGTCTTTTTAGTCTTTTCATTTGCTTATGTGATCCTTCATATTGTATTTCTTCTGTTCTCATCATTATGTGTTGTAATGGGCTACTGGTTTAATCGAGCAACTTGATTGTGCCATAACATATTTCCTGTGAAGATAAGATGCTTTATTATAGATGCTACTCTGTTATGCTGTTTAGGTCGCTAGATGCCACCTATTGCAACCATGTCCCATATCTCGAGTGTGCTACAGTAAAGATATTGCTGTGATCCTTCCCACTACTATGATAATTACTAAATCACTCGGTTACAAGTGTTATCCTGTTTATCTCAGAAGTTATGCAAGTTGTTTATATATTTAGTTTGCAGGATCTCTCCTCTTTTAAAATGCTGAACATGAGACAATTTGACGTGTTGCAGGTTTTCACATTCTCTGTATACATGGGCAATGCATGGAACAGTCTCGCAATATCTGTTCTGTCACAGGTGAATGTTGGCTAATTCCTGGAAATTAGCCAAGTCTCATCTGACTTTGATTATTTTTGACTGTTGATAAATTATGTTTGGCCTTTCTGATATTGAACTAGCATAATTAGTATTATGCTTGGCCATTCAGATATTGAAGTATACACACACACTCATATAAATTTCTTACAAGTGATGGAGAGGGTTTCTAGAATTGATTGATAGATTTCTGATTCCAGACATATAAACTACTACTCTCACTTAGTGAAAATAGCTTTTCAGGTTTAATAGTGAGCAGCTTGGGGATAATTCTTGATAAAAAGAGAGTTTGCTAAATCTGCTTCTTCCTCTTCCTAGGAACACACAATTGTTCAAACAAAAGTATTTTTGCAACGATCGCAAACTCCGCTCAGTCTTGAATGAAACACTGTGAAAATGTTATTAATTTCCCAGAAGGTGGTGCATATGTGCATAGAAACTGAAAAATCAATTATTTGGAGATTAGACTGATTGTGACCTCCCAGTTGTTGTATATAATGTTGCTGCTGTAGAAACATATTTGCTGCGAGCATTCAAGAATTTTACCCAAAAAAAAAGTTATACTTCTTAGCTTCACCAGAGTCGAAACAAGAAAAAAGAAAAGAGAGAATGAATAGCGAGGCTTTCTTGTTCAAGCCTATTAACTTTATGAATTAAATTTTGTGTTCATGCAGATTGTGAAAAATTGCCCAGAAGATTTTCTAGAAGAAGAGAATTTTACTTACGCTACCGTTGAACTTTGTTTGGCTTACATTTTCAATATCTTTCAGTGGTAATGGACCCTTTTCATCCTTGGAATTTCATTTGGTCATTTGCACACTCAGTATCAGCCAATATGTGTACTTTTCTTCAGTGCAAATGCAGTTTCAACAGATCAGAGCTGGGAGGACTTAGTATCTCCAGTATTGGTTATGGCAAAGACACTTGTGAGACGTTTCGTGCATAAGGTTGGTTCGTCATAAGTACAGACAATATGGAGTTCCTGGATGTTTCCATTTATGTTCGTATGCTGATTACCTCCATCTTTTTTAATTGATTGCAGAAGCAACTAAAATCAGTGGCACTGGCCATGCTGCTGATTAGTTACCACTGTGTTAGAGCATCTCCCACTGAGTTATGCTTTTTAAAAGTAAATGATTACGTCCAGAGCGCAAGTTCCATATTGAAAAATCTCCTTCGTGGTAAGAGTATGATAACAGACTTGGTCAGCACCTATTTTGATGTTAGATGTTGCAATTAGTGTATCTCATTCTCATTCTCGCCTTCTTATCCACTCTGGTTATATCAGGCAGAATCTTAATTGTATTCTCCTCATTGACGAAATTTGTTCATGAATAATTTTTACTGCATCAGATAATAAGGGTAGTGCTTTTTAAAAGTGAATTATTACGTCCAGAGTGCAAATTGTATATTGAAAATCTCCCTTGTGGTAAGAGAATGATGACGGACTTGGTCCCACTCATTTTGATGTTAGATGTTGCATTTAGTGCTTTCTCATTCTAGTTCTCACCTTCTTATCCACTCTTGTAATATCAGTTACAATCTTAATTCTACTCCACTGATGAAATTGTTCATGAATATTTTTCACTGCATCGGACAATAAGGGTAGTGCATTCAGTTACGCGCGCACGCGCGTGGATACTCACTGTTGAAGTATCTTGGTATGACTTAAGGTTTTGCCAGTCTGTGATCACACTTCTTCTCGGAATCCCATACAAAAGACTTATCAACAAAGCCTTTCGGCTTCTATTTCACTGGTTCACTAAATGCTGGCTGCCCAGTGTCCCCTTTTTCTTAGTTTCAACTGTAAGAGTGAGGTCTAGCGTGTATAGCATGTCAAGTTTCAAATGAGATTGTTTGGAAGTGTGTAAGGTGTGTGTGGGTTATACGCTGGGTCTTTATGAGAGTTTCAAATGTTGGTTCACGTATATTAGAGGTTTAAGTTTCAAGAAACTGAAAGCTCCCACTCAACAACTCTTTTACTGAGTATTTCTTTGCTCCATAAGCTTAGCTGGCCTGGTCTGTAAGACCTCATCGGCCATCACAAGATACAGATGCCTATAATGGTCTATGCTGATCGGTGAGGATCAGATAAACTATGCTGTCATTGCATGAGAGGATGAAGGGAAAGGACTCCATTGCTTATGAAACTTTCAATATATAGTTTTTCATTGTTATTACGTTTTTAAAGACTTTTCATGAACTATCTTTTGTTATTGTTTCGAGTAACTAGATGACAGATACAAATCTTCTTGATATCAACTTGCAGACATATGCGAACCTGGCGAAGATGCAGTCCTCTGTTTCCCAGGATTTTTGGAAACCAGCTTGAATGTGATTATTGGTTTGATTAAGGACTGCATAAAGGGCATTCACCTACTTGGCAATAAGAAATCTGATTCACGAAAACTGATTCAGACAAAGCTTGCCTTTTCTTTTGAACAAATCATAATTCTGGCAAAGCTGGCTCATCAATGTCTAGCATTACGAACAGATGGCGATCCGCTGCACTTCACTCTTCTCAAACATTGTACAGAATGCATTAGGAGTGTTCTTGGGGATACTAATATGCAGGTGATTATATATTTACTAGCAAGGCCAGTTTCCCTGTTCTCTCCATTCATTATGCAAAAAGTTGTTATTGCTCCGACTGTTGCATATTCTTTGCAGGTTCAAGCTATTGGCTTACAAGTTCTGAAAGGCATGTTACAGAGAGAAACCAGTGCAGAGGACATTTGTTTCCTGACATTCTTTACTGGGGAGGTCATTGAGGATATCTTTTCCATGGCCCTGAATATGTTGAAGGTTCGAAAGTAATTCTAAATTTCCTTCATCATGCTTGATTGGTGCCCATTTATTAAAAGGAGTGCGACGTTACTTCCGATGCAGAGAGATGTAACCAAGGAATCTGCAGTTATCATCACCGAATGCTTGAGAATCTTTGTACTTTTGCAAACCCTGTCAAAATCCTCCAACTGTCGGAGGGGTTATATGACCCTGCTTGTGGAGGTTATTCTCAGGGTTTTCTCTGCTAGCAGTGATTATTCAGAGGTAGGATTTTTGTTGGCCTCAGAATTAAATTAGAGAATTGTTTGTTTTGTCCGTCCTCCTGATGACTGATTTCCTCATCTTGCTGCTAATGAACAGGGTGCCGTTGATATAAGAAGCATATCCATAAAGCTTGTCTCTCATCTTGTTCAGATTCCTTCCTCAGCTGTTCACTTTAAGGATGTCCTGTTATCAATGCCTGCATCGCAAAGACAGCAGCTTCAGGACATCGTCCGTGCATCGGTGGCTCAAGATCACAATGCAATGCAGACAAAATCAGTGACTCCGTCTCTGGAGATTAAATTACCAGCTTCAGCAGAAGGAATTAAGGAAAAAGATTCTCCGGCATCCACTAAAAGTCACTCCCTTGATAGTACGGTGGAAGAGCATGAGGAAGAAGATGATTGGGACACTTTCCAATCTTTTCCTGCTTCTAGCAGTGCCGCCGCCACTGATCCCCAAATTGGAAGTACTCCTGAGGAAGGTGACATAATTGAGAACTCCGAATTTGAGAAGTATACTGGAGATGGTGAAGATATAAAGTTAGCCTCTGGTGACATGGAAGCATTAAGCAACATGGTGCAGAAAGAGGTTGTTACTGAAGTGGTTTCTGATGTGGTAGGTGAAAAAAACATAATGGGAGAATCTCTTGATCTTTTAAGGGAAGACAATGTGGATGAACCATTTGATCGTCAACACTGGATAGACGAGGTAGTACCAAGTGAAGAGAAGGAGTTGACTGAAGTTCAATTATCTGAATGTTTGGAAGCATCTGATGAGAGCAACTTTGTGGAAGGTCAGAGACTAAGAAATGATAGCACTAGTGATAGAGCTGATCTTGAAATATCTCCAGCTGCTGCACCTGTGGAACTCTTGGATATTGGAAAACATTATGATGGAGGGGGCTTGAAGGATACAGATCCAGTTGTTAATGCAAATGAAGATACTGAAAAGGAAACTCTGGGTGAGAAGAGGAGAAATAATCAACGATACGCTGGTCAGGATTCATTCCTCGTGAAACATCCTGATACTTCTCATTCAAGTGAAGAGGAAGTGATTCAACTTCAACCGTCTGAACATTTAGAGGAGTCAAATGAGAGCAACATTGGGGAAAGTCACAGACTGAGAGAGGATGACACTAGTCCAATTGGTCTTGAAGTTTCTTCAGTTACCACATCTTCTAAGCTCCTCGATATTGGACCCCACAGTGATGTAGGTGGCGTGACAACTGGCAATCTAGATGTGCCTGTCAATGGAGATTCTGTTAACCAAATTCTGGATGGGGAGAGTAGGAATGAGAAGTACCAAGATGTTGGCCACTGTTGATCAACTGTCAAAGACAAAGATGATGCTCCAGACTTAGAATCTCTCGCCAAGATATGACAGACCATAGTGTAGATAATGAAGTACTACAAAAGTAGATATCTGCTTTCCTTTTTCCCATTTTCTAGCAGGCGAAACCAGCCCCTGACAACTGTGCTTCCTCAACCTTTTCATTATAGCGAAGCACATATAGTATATGAAAAATATTTTCCAAGTTCACATCTCCCTTTTCCACCTAGTGGATGCGAGTACCAATGTTAGAATTGCAGGTCTTTTGATTGTTCCCTTGAATGCTTAGTGTTATAGTGGCATAGCTTTATATTTCTATGGGTTAAGATTGTTTTTGGTTTTAGCGGCTGTATTCGTGTGTATAAAGACATCATGTCTAATTCGATCATACTCAAAAAGACAAACTGCGAGGGCACACGTGCCATATCAGAAGCATTTAGGCATGTATGCGATATCATAAAGGTGGACTGTGCAGCATATGACTGACGTCATCCATTGCTAATTTTCAGATTTGCTGTGACCCAGAACTCATTCAATGAGCAAAGGTAACAACCTTGCTTTTCATCGGCACTTGTTCCTATCCAGAAATCATTATTTTTCTAAGGTTGGAACTAGCGCAATGTTTAGTCAATTTTAGTTCAGCCATTTCCCTGTATGCTAGATTTAGCTCCATCGAGATGCCGACAAACTAATGCTAAAGTAAGTTTAATTTGAGCCTTATGATTTCAAAGTCATCATTTGGCTTCTGTACATGCAACTCTTTTTTTTACCAAGAAGGAGACCTATGATACATCAGAAGGCGCAGAACTGAAATTATACGATTATTTGTTCATATATTACCATTGCATGGCAAGCTCTGTGTGTCCTGAGTCGGATAAACAGCCTTCCACAAGACAGCAAATTGATGTTGTCTCCTGTAGTCTTGTTCGTGGATGGAAGAACACCAAGATTGTCATTGTACAAGCGCGTAGACTTTTTAGTTGCGGTTCACATTGATGATGCAAAATGATTACGCCTTGCAGTAGTATCTGTTGTACCTAAATGTCGCAGGAAAGGATTGCTATATTACTATCAAACATGGCTCGAATCGTTTAATTTTCTGCGCCATACAAGTACGCTAGAAGGGTAATTACACATCTCAACATGACAAAAATAGTCGGCTAGGGCCTCGAACCATGACCATGAAGAAGTTGCGGAGACCACATAACATAGAAACTAAGCTAATTCGACGTGGTCTCAATTTGAATATAATCTTTTCCCAATATGTGTCCTTTGACTGGCATGAATTATTAGCTTGGGTTTTGCTCGCTGTTGTTTCACCATTAAGATGAACTCAAAAAGCTCATATCCAGTAGAAATTTTCCATTCACGATTCAGAGATAATTCACAATTTACTCATTTAGATTAAAAAAACAGTATACTTATTTCATTTAGTGTATTTGTTAACCTCATTCTTTGGCCTCTGACTTGCCAAATCAAAGTGAAACCGTGTGGCGTTGATGTCTATTATAGTTTACTTGGATATTTGAAAAACAACGCGTTAAGTTGCCAGAAAATTTGAACAACATAATCGATTTCCATATGTAATATTCCTTAATTGCTGAACTTGATGTAGTAGCACATAACATCATATAAGCTGCAAAGTAATCAACGCACTCCAAAAAGAAGAAGATAAAACTCAGTCCAATACGGTACCTTAATACTTGAAACATCCGATTCGCTCTTCTGCTCCTCGAGGATAGTGGCTTCCTCCCCGTACTCGCTCTTCTGGAATGCTTTTACTCTCCAACACTCTGATGCTGTTGCCTCTCCTCCTGCATAGGCTTTTCTTCAGGTGGATTTTCCTGGGGCGTATCTTGCGGCCTCATCATATTCTCCAAGGATATAAGGTAATTGAGAACATCTCTAGTCTCATCAGCCACCGAGCCAGACCCCTTGCTTTGTTTAAAAAAGGGAGTCTGAACCGCAATTAAATAGACTTCATGAACAAGTGGCCTTCATTGAGTGCCTTCCAGCTTCTTCTATCTCTCAGATTAATTTTGATCCAAGTGTCATCATGCTTAATAAATCACGTTTGGTGTCCCTAAATAAGACCAGTCCCGGTTGTTCTTCAGTTAGTTTGAATTTGATCAATGCCCTGCCTATCAAAGGTAGATTCCAATGAGGTTTGCGAATCAACATCTTCGTCTGGAAAAAAAACAGAACTTGTTGCTGATTCAGGGCAGCACACTGTTCTTGCATTGAAGTTGAGGTGATCACCAATTAAACAAAAAAAGAATGCTGCAGCACATATTGACACAAAGGCGTTGAGGAATTACGCTTTTCAGTTCGTGTACATCTGGGTCATGCAAGAGATATTGAGAAGGACCATCTTATAGTCAAAAGAAGAAGGATACACGCTTGACTATGGGCATCTGAAGCAATAGAGCAGTGATCAGAGTCAGAGTGGCCAAAACTGGTCTCGAACGAGTGACCATTATGCAGCAATGATTAGAACAGCACAACACTTCGGCGAGGAAGACAAGTTCTTGTTTGGCCAAACTCCAGGCCCACTACAGAGTAACTCAAGGGCCTCTCGTGCAACCAACCCACCCAACCAAACAATGCAAAATCGCAAACCCATCAGCTTAGTTTGCTCTGTTTCAACTCGGCCTAACCGGCGCTGGCCCCTCTCGTTGCTACATCAGCAATCTGGGCACCATCGATTCGGCTGGTTGAGAGAGAGGGAGGGATGGAGAAGAAGAAAGCAAAGAAGACGACCCACGTCGGAGACTCCGCGAGGGACGGCGCCGGCGCCGGCGCCGCCGCAGACGCAGACTCCGACTCCCCTTGGAGGTGGCTGACCCACCGAGGCCTCCTCCCGACGCTCTCTTTCGTATCCCTCTTTGGCCTCCTGGTCCGGGCCGCCGTGTCGCTCCACCCTTACTCCGGCGCCGGGACTCCTCCCAAGTACGGCGACTTTGAAGCCCAGAGGCACTGGATGGAGATCACCATCAACCTCCCGGCGAAGGACTGGTACGTCAACGGCACCCTCAACGATCTCAGCTACTGGGGCCTCGATTACCCTCCCCTCACCGCCTACCAGAGCTACGTCCATGGCCTCTTCCTCAAGCTCTTCGACCCTGACTCAGTCGCTCTCTTCTCTTCCCGGGGTTACGAGACTCATTTCAGGTGGTGATTTTTGGGGGGGTCATTTGTAGTGTAGCCTCTCTGGAGCTGCAAATTTGATCATTTTCATTCGTTAACACAATTGTTTCGTTAGTCTGTTGCTGCTGCAGTTTTTAGCTAACCTTAAAAATGTGTGTTGTGTGATGCAGTAAGCTGCTCATGAGGTGGACGGTTTTGTGCTCTGATGTGATGGTGTTCTTCCCTGCTGTGTTTTACTTCTGGTTTGTGTACACCCGTGGTAGCAGCCGAGGTGGCGAGAGATGCGACGCAGCGTGGCACCTAGCCATGCTTCTGATAAACCCGTGCTTGATCTTAATCGACCATGGCCATTTCCAGGTATGGCCCCTGGTTGCACCTGGATCATTCTTTGCTTCAGTGTCCATTTGTGAGAATCTTCACTTAATATTGATGAGTACCGCTATCTAATTGTTGTTTCAGTATAACTGTATTAGCCTGGGACTTACTGTTGGAGCGGTTGCTGCTGTCCTCTCTCAGAAGGACCTCCTTGCTGGTGCTTTATTCTCTCTTGCTCTGAATCATAAACAGGTATAATCCGCATATTAAGATTTCGTAGTGAATACCTTCAGAGTGTATGTTAAATTGTGCACGGTTTATTATAGTGGCACGCTATCTTTGCTGAGCTGATTTGGTTCGTGTTCATCTTAATAGTAATTAGTTGTTTCTTGTAAGCATTAAGGATTCAACATTAGCTAGGGTAAATCATTAGTATGCTCTCCGTTCCCATCTCTATATCTGTCTATACCCTTGAATAGCCAATTTTCTAATAGTTGTACTTGCATATCATGGCAGAATTTAAATGTCCTTGGTTATAAGAATTATGTATCTGGCAAAGCTTCTCTACAGAATGGACACTTGCATATATGATTGAGATTGAGTCCGACATTTTTTATAGTTGCAACATCCTTTCTGTTGCAGGCTTTGTGAGGAGCTGCAGTTCTCAGATCCTTTGTTTCACTGTGCTTGGCCTCAATTTAGTGCTGTATCGATGGGATGTGAGCATCATTCCAACTTAGTTGACAATCTCTTTGGAATTGGACTGGACCCTTACATGGGTTTTAGTACTTTACTAGGTGTGAGGTGTCATGAATGAGGTGACGCCTAAGAGAGAAGCATCCATTTGAGCTGGGCATCTGCAATTCAAAATCTTATCTGAAAGTGGCCTTCTTAGTCTTAAATTCACAATTCTATATGATGGAAGTAAAGAGAAATTGAATAAGGGCAAAACGCGACTTCTTCTGATCTTTCTTTGACTTGGGTTATTATAGGCGTCAAGTTTCCTTCAAATTAATCTTCCACTCCAAAAAGTCTTTTATTAATCTACCTCCTCGCCTTCCATAGGAACTGAGATAAGCCTTTGGACTTAGAAAATTGCTACAGTTGTTTGTGCTTTCTGTTTATTTCTTGCAGTATTAGTAGTTATCTTGATAACTGTCTATCTATATTTTCATGATATCCCACGAAGAAAAAATGTTTAACAGTTACTCTTTATCTTTAAACTCTAAGAAAATACAACTGTCTTAGTTTATGACCAACACCAATTTAATTAATTTCACGTAACCATATTGAATCTTGAGGGTAGTTGTATATTCCTCCTACTCATTGCTGCCATTTTAGCATCAATTCTTATAGTTGCAGCATCTTTATTTAATGGTGTTGTCATTACCAATTTTCTCATGAAATTACAGGATTAGAGATGAGATTGTTTGCTGCATTAAGATGACAAAATTGATCAAAGGCCATGCAATATTAGAGTATCAATCACTTGCAACCTGTTCTGATATTCTGGGCTATTTTCATATATCAATATCACACAACTGTGGAGTTAGTAATAAAGTTGTATACTATGGCTGTGCCGTTGCCTTAATTCCTCATTTAGTAGTTGGTCGTGCTTGTCATGTTAAGATATTTATTCATGCTTATCCATTTCTGGCCCTTTCGTGGAACTTTCTGCAGATGAGTGCATACTTTGCGCCTGCTTTCTTCAGTCATCTCTTAGGAAAATGCCTCAGGCGGAAGAATCC